ATGCTTAAAATTAGATATTTTTTTGAAAAGTTACAACAGTCAACAAATATTTATATTATAAAAACGTTATGTGAAATATACATATATTTACGATTGAAATTTTATCATTAACGGTTTTATAATTTCAATAACAACTTGATTTAACACATTAATTAAAAAAATATACGAAATCAACCCTGCATCTATCTATAATCGACACACAGTTATTAAATTATTATATATTTATTCAAAATCATACAAAAATAATAATTTATAGGTTTATCACCAAATTATTACAAAACTTTTTGTCTCTATGTTCTCGATATTTATTTTGAATATTCTTGATCTAATAAAGTTTGCTATCTTTTTGTGAATTTTAAAATAAATATCTTAAATTACTAAAAACTTTACTACATCTATTTTAGCAAAATCCATTGAAAAAAAAAAAAATAATAATTTAGGTTTTCATTTTCTATTTATTTTAATATGATATTATGTTAAACAATTTTTTAAATGCTGACCAATGTCAAATTAAATAAATAATAATGATGTACCCATTTTAATTTATATATTTTTCAATTACGAAAAAATAATCCATATTTCTAACTCAATAAACATGAAAAACGGATGCTAATAATACTTAATTAAATGAGCTAAAATCAATTAATGAGAAATTGGCTATGTAATTATGAGTTTTGAACAATTTTTTGTTGTCAATATATTATGATCGTGCATGTTAGGTAAATCATATTACGTTACATGTATATCACAACATCACATATTATATTGTACTCGCTACTCTTATGACTAGTAGTCCTTTTGATGTTAAACGAATTAAAAGTCATTAAGTGTAAGTACATACTAAATTAAATTTTTTGCATTTATATTACATGTATAGGCATGTTATGTTTGAATAAAAAATGATTAAAAAAAAAATGCTTTATAAATACAAAATGAAAAAAAAAATAGTTAAAATTTAAATAAAATTTTAAAATATACTACATACCTCAGTATTATTAAATTAATATAATATCAATTAAACTGTAAATTTAGACTTTAAAGCAAATATAACAATAAATTGCAATACAACACGATTAAAGTTATTCAATATATTCACAACTACGATAATTCCTAAAATATAGATCTAGTTTTGTCAATCCGTATAGAAATAGATCACTTCCCTAAACCTTTCTTAAATAAGAAAAAATTAAATAATTTGACTAGATCCACTCGTGGTTATATATTCAAATATATAACGTTAAAAATAAAATTCAAAGTTGTGTAACTTAAATGTTGAAATAATGACATTTCAAACAACCGAGTGACGTGAAAAACAAAACGTATTACCTAAAAACCAACATAGTTTTGTTTACTACGTCAGTATGTTAAAAACGATAAAACCTAAATCATTCAATACGTCTACCATTTTTCCATTAAAACTATTGTATTAAATTATAAAAACACAAATATTGATGAGTTGCAAACGCAGAACGAGAGAGATGATGCTGAATGTACAGAGATTGGTTGAAAAAAAAAACAAAAAAAAAGACTATCACTAGAGCGTAGATTTCTATGCAATTGCATATTTTATTATTTTATTCTTTTTCACTTTTTTGGATTTTTGTCAGTTACTTTTACGAATCATAATAATTTGAACTTGATGAATTTTTTTTTTTTTTGCATATTTCTGCACATTTAATGGTTATTTTATATTCGTGCATATTTTTATAAAATTCGATATGTAGGTATTACAAATTAAAACGAAAATTTTTCATTAAGTATTTAAGTAATTAATTATTATAAGTTGTTTAATTTGTGAATTTTATAAGAATAAAAAAAATCTTTTTGCATATTTATTGCATATTTTCATAATTTTTACTGCATATTATATGGCATATTTCGATACTTTTTAGTGCATAAAAATTTGTGCTCCAAGTCTATCACACGTTATAATGTGACTTACAGTTTGCTAAATCACTCGGTTCCGAATATAAATCTAAAAATATAAATGAAGCTCAGTTATCACAAAATATAGCAAGTAATTAAACAAAACAGTGAAAACCCGAAAGTTTTGACGAGTTAAAAATTTACGAAAAACTTCTTCGTTGTAATTATTTACATTGCATTAGCGTCTAAAACTCTAAGTAGTAACTTCACGCCTCAGAATAAATAGTAGATGAATAGATTTATATTTTATTGACTATCATTATATCTTATGATTAAACATTATTCATAAATAAGAACATTTTTCTGACATATTTTTATTTTGTTTAATATTGTGATTATTTTGGTTCTAGCTATGTCACCTGTTTTCAAATTATATTATCATATATTTTAAAATCTCGCTACATTTTCATTTTCGTTGTCATTATGTGGCTTCTAGATCTGTTATGGATATAGTAGAATTAAAAGTAAAAAAGACTTCAACCTTTATATTTTGTTTGTTCGTTTTACATGGTCATCTAAAAAAGTACAAACGCAGATAAGTAGTGATTGTAGATAAAGATATTTTGACTTAAATTTGTTTATTTAAATGCAATGCCACCGCGTTATATTTTTTTCTCCCGATCGTTTAAAATGAAATCAGGTATTTTTTAAATTCTTTATATTTTTTACGCGTTGAAACGAACAAAAATGTATCAAAAGATATAACCACTTACACCATCTCAACACTAAACTATAGGTAATTGTATCACACGTTTCTATACGCATATAATCCGGCGTTTGGACCCAAATTAACATTTACAATATCCACAAACAAGTGTGGCAAACGGTCAAATTGATAGCAATAAGATCGTGGTGCAAGAGAACAATCAACAAAGACCCTGTTTGAGCAGCATTATCACGGATGTATAGGACCAATACGTGTGCAATGTTTTTCGTCGCGTCAGCGATGTTACACGGTATATTATAACGTCCAACGTCCACAACATACAGACACACTTATGTTATGGTGTCTGTCATTCTTTTTTATATTTTAAATAATCGAAATCCAACACAACACAGGCTTTTCGTACGAAATTTTCTAGTGTCGCCTATTAATATTAATGAAGCCCGCGCGACAGTATACGAAGATTAATAACAGATAACATTTTGAAAAATGATGATCTTTTTGAATTATTTTTAAAATATTATCGTCATTAGAAAATGTTGAGAAGACTAAAATCTCTCTCCCCAACTCACTCTGCTGAATCAATTAAATCAAATCCTCATTTTCTAAGTATACTGTATCATTATTTTTCTAAATTTTTAAAATTAAACACAATAAATATTATTTAAAAACACCACAGAAAAAAAATTAGTTTTCTTACAAAAATATTTTACGTATATTATACGAAATCATCATTTCGTAGTCTATTCGTAATTTACAGTTAACAGTTAAGTGCATTTCATACCATTGGCTGAAGTGTTTAAAAATGTACTAACTTAATACATTGACAAAAGACTCTAGTTAAAAAAAATACTACAACATTCATTATTTGTATCGTTAATCCATATAGACTATCAATTCTTTTATTCGGTATTTTTTTTCTCCGATAGCGTGTTTTAAATAGTATTTCAGTAATTTTTTGTAATATCATATTTTAAATCATGTTTTTATAACATCATAATTATTATTATTATTAGCTAGATATGAAGCAAAATATTTATATTGCTGAAGTTTGTCCGTATTTATAACTATTATTATTATTTTACACGAACAATATTAATATAAGAAACTATACAGAGTTATCTGAAAATAACACGAACGCATAGTTACACAACTATCCGAAAACACCCAAAGTTGGATGTTGTGTTTTGACATTCAGCAGTAGGTACCTGCAGTTCGAATTTTCTCTCTCGGACGCCTGTATCGTATTACTAATCGATTTACTTTTTCGTCGATGTACAGCTTACTCGGAAACTATAAAATACGAAATAGTTTATCGTCGGAAACGTTTTTATAGCTGACAATGACAATTTTATTCCATTTCAATTACACACTGCAGTACAATATTATTTATTGTTCAACGCTCGATGCCATCGCCATGCCATATAATATGTATTAAATCTACGAATGTCAAATAGTGATGTTCAAATATTAGACAATTACGTTTTCAAACACAAAATGTTAGTGTTCAATTGCTCAATTAATAATGATAATATTATATATTATTATTTATATAATACATACTCTAATAACTACGTACCTTCGTTCCTTTGTATTTTCTCAGCCATAAAAAATCTTAATCGATGTTACTTATCCTTTTAGTGTTAAAAAGACACTAAAAAGAATAAACGGTAATGTACATTTATTTTTGAGCTTGAAATCGATTTGATTTCGTTTTCTATTGACAATAAATGTGGAAATGTTTGGGAATAAAACTCGGAAAAATGATTTCAAAATTCAATTTACTAATATACTTATTCACGTTCTTAAAAACACAAATATAGGTAATTGATATATTGTTATAGCAAACGTAGAGTTTGTTGGAAAATCGCCAATCACCGAAGTGCAACAAATACATTTGTCTCGTAGCCGAATATCAATATCGCCCTCAACTATTATGTTTCGTTCATCTTCAGTAGTTCGGTAAACAATAATTTATGATGACGTGGAGATGCAATCCGTTGTGAAAATGTGTTTTTTTTTTAATTTCTCTTAAAAGTTGTAAAAACTGAAAACTTTATTGGGTTTTCACTTCTGATCAATAATTTTATCATAACACCAATGTAAAAGTAATTAAATACTATTGGCCAAAACTAGAATACCATAGATAAGATTAAATCGTTTCTCGAACGTAATTTTTATTTAAAAGAAATTTACTACCAGAAAAACGATTGGTTCTAATAATCTGATTTAATTCTCGTAATGACACACAATACTATTTTAAAGATTTATTTTCATCATGATCAAAATTAACAATCATTGATTTTTGTTTTGTATTTTTATGGTGTAACGATGGTACCTCATTATTATTAACAAAAGTAAAGAAAGTTGTCAATTTTGTAAATTAGATGACGTTTTATTTATTTTTCAGGTATGTTATTGGCAGAAAATGGACTGCAAAATGTTACATCACCAAATGTTGGAAATTATATCAACAATATGGGTTAGTACTATTATTATATTTAAATAAGTGTGTTAGATCTTAAAATATTTTAAAATATTTATTTATTTTTTATGATTATTTTATACGTTTCACTGTTTAGACTCTTATTTTAACGATTAATATAGGTACCATATTTTCAAGAAAAAAAATTTAATTAAAAGCAGAATTAAATAACACAAAAATGAAAAATTGTTTCTAAAAATAATAAAATCACGAATTATAAGCACGAAATAATATTTTTAATAACCAAGGGTTGTGTTTCAGCGTTTGATCGTATTCAAATATTTTATTTCTAATTCGTCAATAATGAACAACCTTTTGGTACCACAACTACAGAAGTAACAATATTGAATAAATTGTGTATTAAAAGAAGTACAAATAAAATGTCTGGTAAAAAAATCAAAATCTATTCAGCAATATAATACACTCAAAATAATATAAAAATGATGTTTGATTTTTTTTTTCTTACCCTCAATATTAGTTCATATTCATTCAGGAACCATTAGATACTAATTTTTGAAAAAATACCATCAGATATTAATTTACCTACATTATAAATGTAAATAATAAATTTATTTTATCTGTCGTACTTAAAACCCCAATTATTTGCTTTTCATAAAACATAAATAGGTATCACATATAATAATAATATTTTTCTTATGAACACACGATTGTACATTTATATTGATATTAAAATAATAGCAGTTATTCAATACATACCACTTATTAGTTATATCTATTGATTAACATTCTGACATAATTTGTTTAATTGTTCGTAGTTTAATCCCAATAATATAGTATATTATTTTATTTTATTAATAACCTTTCTAGTCTCCTTTATTTGCATATCTGAACAATTACATGCAATCAAAACTGAAATAAAATTATGTTTAGTTTCACAAAATAGTAAAAAAACTTAATTTTCTAAAAAACAAAAAAAAAATATAACATTTTATGTTTAAAATCTAAAATACATTATTTCAAATGAAAATGTATGCTATAATTTACATTTTTTAACTCACTATAATAATAAATATTAAGTGTTCCATGTACATTTAATTACCATTAATTTAGATTATTGGTTTGAACTAAAAACAAATCAATAACTTTATTTTAATATAATAAATAATAAGGAACAAAAAAAAACAAAACAATTATCTGTATTCAAAACATTTCATTTTAAATATTTTTAATAAACATATTTTTTACAGAGTAAAATTATAAATTTTCTAATAGTGTTTATAGTCTTCTAAGTTTGTTTATCTTTTCACGAGAATTAAATATTAGGAAAACAATATTTATTTTACCCTGTTCAGGATATAAAAAAAACATGTCATTATAATAGAATATTAAATGCGAAAATAATATAAACAAAACTGAACGACCACGTGAGTCAAAAATTAATTTCTTTATTAATAAATCTTCATGGATATAAGTTTTCAACATATTTCTTTACACGTTTTAAAAATGTTTCGCCCAAAACCACTAATAAACTTTTTTTTGTTACTCTACTATAATGTAAAAATCAATATTTCATTCCCATGTTAAATAATATAGTCTATAATATGGTATCATGGTCTAACGAAAATTTATTTTTATTAATATCCATATAATACAATAAAATTTATGTCAATAAAATTGTCATCTATCTTGGAGAACAATGTTTTCTTATATAAATCGAAAAGATGTATTTTGTATCCTTACAAATTCCATTAAGCATCATAATTTAATCACTCGAGTCATCTATGTATTATATTTATTGTAAAGTTTGGTTGGTATATTTCGAATCAATCAAAATGTTTACTCGTGTTCATCGGGTTTATTCCTATTTTGGTTTTCTATGATTTCGCAAATATTCTTAATTAAAATTACGTTATTCTGCACAATTATAATATTGGTAGGTGGTTAATTTATATCTATTAATTTATTGTATTAAAACAATTAACTTGTTTGCATACATATATTATAACTGCTCTTGTTTACTAACTCGAGGTTGTACAATTAAATTTGATGAAAATCAAATGTAAATATAGTTAAAATAAAAAGTTTGATAAAAAATGTGTATAATAATTGTTTTATAGCCAAAAATACATAACTTTTTTTTTGTTTTGTTTTTTTTTCCACAGTAGCTCAAATTCCACTGCAAAACCGTAAGTTATTATTTAAAATAACCAGTATAATCATAAATCACCATTAAAAATCATGTACTTACTAAGAGTCTATTAATATAACGAAAATATTTTTTAAATCTTATCACTACTGGGGCAGGTGTATTTAAATTTAAATTCATGATGAATCACTTGAACCATTTCCGAAAAAAGGTTTTTAAGTGGAAGAGCTTAATAAAATTTGAGATTTTTGTCAAAATATATGCTTTCTCGAATACGTGTTTTTTTTTTTATAAATAACCATCTCAAATATAACCTAGTATTAAGGAATTTAAACAACAACCTTTCTTGTTTAACCTTTATTTAAGTTTTTAATCCATGAAATTTAATTAAAACAGCTGAATAAAGTTGTATAAAAAAAAAATATAAACATAATTATAATATAACACTATGTAAATAAGATTTTTTATGACAACATTTCACTAAAAATGTCAGTATTTCTTATTGTTGAATTACTCATGGTTATCTTTAATGCAACTTTTTTGAAAGTAATTTATTCTATTTTTTAATAATGCCTTGCAAATTCAAAAAATAATAATCAAATGTACTTATACCATAGAATATAAAAACCATTAGCTTAATACATTTTTCTGAGCCTTATATTTTGTTGTCCAAATGTATATAATTTAATACACAATTTATAATAAAAAACAAGAAATGTAATAAATATATAAAAAACCAAGTACATAAATAAATATAATACGTATTTTACGTATTTACATGAAATTTATTTATATTTTTATCCAACTTAATTAATAGTATCTACGTATCGTGTACTGTATACAATGTGACAATTATAAATTTTAATAAATAGTATATTATATACTTCACTACACTGTGTTATCTGTGTAAAAATGTATTCGGTTATACTCAATAATGAGTTTATTAAATTGAATCAAGTAAATCAAGAAAAAACTCACTAACGAGTTTATAATATGTTTTTTAGATTTAAGTGTGTGTTTACACATAACAAACACCAGGAACTGAAAAGCGGAAATATACAATACCCTTGACAACATTAAGTTAGCTCACGCATTCTACATGAAACGTGGAAATATTTAATTTTATAATTTTTCTTAAAATCTCTACACCGAGTACTTTAAAATTATAATTATTTCGCTCTATACTTTTAATATGCATGTAATCATAATGATTTTAATATTTTTAAACACAAAATACGACGTAGGTACGAAATATTTTATCATTAAGTACATGTTATCTTAAAGAATCACAGAGGCATTATCTTGATAAGCAATTATTAATTAAAAATAAAATATAACAAGTTTGAATATAAAATTTTATTATATATTATTACCTATTCAATCCCTAAAGTTCATCAAGTTTTATATTTTTCACCAATATGGCTTTCATACGTTTATTATTCATAAGCCGTATCAATATTTTATTAGATTTAAAACTAAAAACAAATAAAAGTACATCTTTCATGTTTTTTTTTGTTTTGTTTTGTTTTTCATTTCCTAGAAACCATGTTTTGATTTTGAACCTTTATTCCACAAAGTAAAAAGTTTATTAATCGTGCGGCTTACTTTTAGAACTATTATTGTTTTAATATAAACTTCTATAATATTATTGTTCATCAAAAAGTCAAATTTTTACAAAATTCACAATTTAAAAATTCTAAAAATTTAAAAATCTCCTTCCAAGCTTTTTTTTTTAATAATTCCGTTATATCAGGACAGTTTTCGATTATTTTTATATAATAATAATATTTTTTTTAATACTATGGATACTTTGCTAATATAATTCATGAAAAAAATATGCAAAATTATTGATAAACAAATAATTTATCAATGTCTATGTATCATACGTATGCACATGAGTACACGTTTTAATTTCAGTCAATACTGAAATTTTCAATTATTGTATCTTTGTTTGTTTTTTTTTTTTTTTTTTAGCTCCTTGCAAACGAAAAGAAGAATCCCAACCTATTATTCCTGATCATTCAACTGCACCCAAAAAACCACGTTTGGTCTTTACTGATCTTCAACGACGAACACTACAAGCTATTTTCAAGGTACATAACTATAATAATATCAATTAGTTCTTTTTTAAACAATATCAAGAAATGTTTAAAATAACACTTAAAAAGTTTACGACTACTAGATGTATATTTTAAATATTATGAAATGTTATACCTTAAATAATTCACGTTGTAATATAAAACGAAAAAATTCAACTTGTGTCAAAAACGGGAAAAAATTCAAAAAATATTTAATTTAACAAAAACGTTAACTTAATCGTTTAAAATAAAGTTGAAACTAAATACACTAATAATTTTTTTTTTAAGATATAAACATAAAAACGCTTAAAAAAGCAAATGATCACTACTATTGAGTGTTTAAATTGAATATAAGCAAATTACATTGGTCTTAAAGGAGTTTAACAATTTCTCAAAATACCTAATTAAATAATTTTAACCTTAAAGAAACAGCATACATTAATAGGTATTTAAATTATACATATCTTTTAGGGTAATTAAATTAAACAAATAAATTATGTTTTCTAGTAAAATAATTAAAAACTGTATTAAAACAAACGAGTTATTTAAAATCTTTTATATATAAATATATATATATATATATATATATATATTCAAAATCTAAAACTGAAAAATTAAAAATATTTTAATCCTTGGTGTATACACGTAAAAAACTAACTTTTTATAATTGAATTCCGTAGGAAACGAAAAGGCCGTCAAAAGAAATGCAAGTAACCATAGCTAGACAATTGGGTCTGGAACCGACTACAGTCGGTAATTTCTTCATGAATGCCAGAAGACGATCGATGGATAAGTGGAAGGATGAAGATCCAAAAGTAATAGCGGCATCGAACCACCATCAAGACGACATTGTAGTCAACATGCAAACAGGGACACATATGGGTAACCACCAGTCTGAAGTGTTGTGACCAATAATTAATTAGGATAAATATAGATATTTATTCCAAAATATTAGAGTACAATATCGAAATGTGATTTATTTTCTGGTCAGTTATACTATAAAAGTTAATAGATATATTTTTTTCTGTTTTTACATAAAATTATTATCTCGACATATATATTATGGTAAGGCAACATAACATATTTCCCAGTGATTTTATCCCTACTAATTTTTAATCATAACACGTAACTAAACCATAACCACGTGTCCCTACTTCCCGTCCCATAATCGTAATAATTGAAAACAAACAGAAATTGTGTAAAAATCGAAAGTCGATTGACTTCTGTATAATATGTTCATTATTTGATTAAACCAATAAATGTTTCTATTTATTTTCTTAGATATCTATACCAATACTACGCTATTATAAAATAGTTCTTACCAATGGTTAAATTTGTTTTATGTAACAACACTATGATATAAGTACGCTTCAAATTTTATTATTTTAAAAATACATATTGTACTAATTTTGTTGAAAATCATTTCACTGATATTTATACAATATTTACTTAATGATCTCTGCGCATATGTAGTCATATTGAAGTATGTAATATTATTAAGGCCAAATCACAACATTTAATGATTGTTCAATCAAATCAATAATCTAGTCAAAAACCGCTCAATTTACATACAAATTGAAAAAAAACATATTTATAAACGATTCTTTTGAAGTATATATTTTTATCACAACTTTATGCTTTCACATACTTTACTAAAATGTATTCCGTCATAATATTTTGTAATACCTAACATAAAAAACTATAGTAATAAAAGAACATAATAAAATATGGACTTAATAAATAGTTTATTGAAACAAAATAATTTATAACGAGCTTATTTTTAATTAAATAATAATATTATTCCACGAAACTGATTACCAAGTGGAAATTCCTTAAGGAATCATATTTTTCGCATCCGAGTTAAAAATTATACTTTAGTGATAACTTAAGCATTCCATAGTCATTATATCTAGTCAAAATAGTTAGTGCAATCGACTTAATGTCAAATTTAATAACTAGTGATATTTTATTATTTTATTTTAGTTTTTAATTTATTATTTTTTGTTTTTGACCCGAGTTTTTTGTTTCGTGGTTTTTTAGAAAACAATACAATTGCTTAATTTATTATATGATGTTTGAAGTAGGAAAAATTATCAAACAAAATAATAAAAATTAAATTGAGAGTAATTTGGTTGCTCAGAGATTATTAATATATTAATTTTAACTTAAAATCTCTAATGGAAAAACCAATTACCCTAATAAAATGCAATTTTTGTTTTCGTCAATAATTTTTTTTTTAGTTTGTTTTTCTTCTTCTCAGCTTTTGAAATCTATAAAACGCAATAATCAAAACTGTGTTATTTATTTAAAAATTACATTCATTCGTTAATGATCTTTTACCCTGCGGTCAATAATATTCCAGTTATGACGAAAAAAGATTTTTTTACTAATTGATTGTTGTGTTCCCAAACAAAGAATTCTAAACATTGAATATTTTATTTTTCACGTGTATATTATAAGAGCCCCCCATTAGTGTGTAGAATAATTTAATATAAGTTTAGTGCATATGTGTGGTTGCCTAGCCAGTAAATTATTTTTAATAAAACGAGATTATATTATTATTATTTATAATTTGTATCATAGATTTTTCTATTATGCATCCGATTTATTTGTAACAAAAAATTTAATGCACATGCACATTAACACGTTAAAAAACCATTACAATCAAATATGATTAGTTGTAAAATATTGTATATATTATTTATATTTTAATATGATTGTATTTTTTTGGGCAATTTTCTGTGCGAATATTTAAGTATCTATTTAGATTCAAACACGTCTTTTTTTTTTCAATACATGGCAATTTAATTAACTGTTACTTTAAATGTATTTTTAGTTGTTTAGAATTATTATTATTATTATTATTATGATTATTATTATTATTATTATTATTATTATTACTACTATTATTATTATTATTATTATTAAACAAATTTATGTGTTACCTACTATAATTTATATATCTAGTCATTTTTTTTTTAGTTGATAAAAAATTTATAAGAAAATATTGTATACTAAAATGTATTTTTTAAAAAACCGTTTCTAGTCTTGGAATGCTACCAATGTATTAATACTAAATACTAATCTAGTTATGTGAAAACATGTATGTTTTATACTTAATTTCATTTTCTAGTGATATTATATATTATATTATGTATTAATAAATTGTTAATAATTTTCACAAGCCAAATTTTTAATAGACCAATAGACCATAAATATATTTTAGTTAAATAACCATTGAAACGCGAAAAAATAATTTTCTAAAAATATTTCATCATTGAAATGTTTTATTTCATGGTTATAAAGTCAAATATAAATTTTTTTTTTATTACTTAAGAAATGTCTAAAAAAAAATAATGTATTAGATGTTTCTGAAAGTAATTTAACATTTTATCAGTAATTTAATAATAAAACATTACTGTAAATTCAACAAAAAATTACTTTTGTTTAATATACTAAATTCAGCATGCGTGAAAATAAAAACTCAATATTATCCTATAACAAACGATTTTAGGTATCTACACGTTCAAAGTTTCTGTTTTTACAGTGTATTAATAATTATAAATAATATATATACGTTTATTTCTTTTATATGTAATACTGCCATATAATTTAAACACATTAAATATAAAATAACATAGGTACTATCCAATACGTTTTAGCATCATACAAGACGTATGTTTTAACGACAAATCGATAATATAATATGTAAATATTAAAATTATGACTCCACGGCGTCTTAGATAGGCTTTTTAGCTACACTACTGTCATGAACCCATTTTTCGATATTTTTATAACGTGTGAAGTGTAGTTCTTTTAAACTACATCAAAATAGTAAATACGATACAATTATACAAGCGTGACTAAGAATAAATAAGTTTCTAAAATTTATTTTTAAATGGTGCAATGTTTAGTGTGGATTAAGATTTTACGTTTACAGTTTAACAACATAATTTAATTTATTGATTATATTATATTTATTACACTAATGTTTAAAATAAATAGTTTATGTATATATATATATATTAAAATAAATGTGTCTAAATACGTATGATCAGTGGAAAGTAATAAAACATATTTTTTTAGAGCAATTATGATATAATAATTAATTGTCTTTTATATAAATTGTGTTTAAAATTTTAATTGATCTACTCGGTGATAAAAAGTTAACAGAAATTTAATAAGGCAAATAAAAAATAAATTCAACTTAAAATAGGTATTAATTAACCTTGTTTGATCGACCTAATATTTCCATGGTTCAAATTTATACGTATAACCTACACACATTTAGTGTAAGACTGATGAGATCAAAAACAATTATTTTCATCATTTTTACACACCCCCCCCCTCTTCTTGGGCATATAAAGCAAATATTTAGAAAAGGTCATCAGACTGATATAGGGACTGATAAACGATAATAATATGATGCAACCAATGAGATTATTTAATATTTTACATAACAAATGTTCACCTGTGTTATCTGTTATTGCTCCACTTAAACCTCCAAGCTTATAAAACACCTGGTACGTATGTACTAACAAACATAGGTATGTTATATAGTTAAATTTCCCGTCAAAAGATAATATTATAAGATCAATCCAAAACACAAATAACGATATTGTTTTGTTTTTTTCGCAGTTTGCAATAGAAATAAATGTACGTGTTAATATGAAAACTTGTTTTTACTAGTAACGAGTTGTAAACATAATATCAATTATGGTGGAAAAACACGATTGACGAAATCGTCGAATACACTAATAGATTGATATTAATTAATTATAAAAATATAATGGCATTACAAAATAACCAGCATTTTCGTTATTAATTAAAATGTATAGCGACATCTGTGTTCCCATGTAGAGCAACGCCTCAATCCTCTAACTATGAGTTCATTTAAATTTTTATTAAATTTATCTGTTATTATTCTATTTCCGATTACTTGCGTGACGCTTAATAGAACGTTCCATCTATTTGTTTTAACCGTTTTTTTTTTATCCTGTCGTCGTATTTAATAATGACAATAATTGCTCGTGTCACGCTGCTCGAACACCATAAACAACCACATCTGCCCAAAACGTAATGCGAAATACCAGCACTCTTTTTAACAATCGATAATTTTACCGGATTAGCGATTACCACAAATGTTATAGCTGACCGCAATCGGTTCGCACCAATTTGCAGTCTGTTCCGCGTCATCTTTCTCGCTTTCCTCTCGACCGACCGTCCGAGGAAAAGCGCCTGAACACGATCGTCAAATATATTACATTATTGAATTTACGTCAACACCTATCGTCAGCCTACCCCGCGGATTTAAATTTTCCCAAACGACGTCCGTGAGGCAAAACGTTTTCCCGGGAACCGTCGACGACTGACCGGTGTCCGGTCCTTTGTTGTACATATCGTACTATTATGTACGTATTATATGTACTATTATTAAATTCCTCGTTCGGTTGTCGGGCCATTACGTATCATGATATATAATTACCTATATTATGTGCCGGTAACCGCCCATCGGAGCTACCAAAAGCGTCTTACATATAAAACAAATACGGCCTGTTGTTCATTATTATAATAAGCCTGTCACGGAACGGTCATTTTGTTGGGTCGTCCTCGTTAATTATTTATATTATTATTGTCTCTGTGTTACGTGTTTACTCTGTCCGAATCGTATGCCTGTTGTTTGGCTCTCTCGACACCATGACATGTATTGGTTATTTTCTCAGTGTACGCAGTTTTTTTTCTATCCATTATTTTTTTTATTTTTTTTTTTTTTGAGAGTTTCTCTTTTATTTGCTATTATTACGTAAATATTCAAAAACGTAAATTTTGAAAAATTCACGACGCTACACTGCTCCGGTCCTAGGAGACTCGTGAACAAGAAAAACGGCAGGCGACTATAGAAACTCGACTGTCGTCTTTTTAATCGAATGGTCGCATAGTTTTACACTTTAAAGGTAAAAGTGGTAAAATAGTAGACTATAATAAAACTGGCTTTTGAAAAATTGATTAGGAGCCAAAACTCCGTTGAATATTTATCATATTATTCATAGGCTATAATAACACGTTAGGCTGACAGTTCTGATCATAATATTTGATCATGATTCGTTTATAAAAGTTGAACAGTTTATGTATAAACCTTTATTTATATAAGTAAACCTTTGAATAGATTACATGACGCTATCTCGTTTAGGGCGTTGCTGTATGTCATTAGGCGCCTGCAACGTTTTAAAATGCAACTAAACATACAAATGTAATTTTAAACAATTACAATTAATTGTCATTTATAATAACTTATTACAAACCACGTATGTTTAGTTACCCAATGTCAAATTCACCTTATTAATACTAATAAAGTATTTATTTAAAGTAACGATTCAATAATAAAAAAAAAAATATCGTTTTATCTTTGTTATTGGTTTTCAATATTTTTATTACTTCATTATACCTAATAATATATTGTAATAAAATATATGTTATAAACGTTAAAATCTTTTTTTCTTTAGATCGAATGTAAAATTTAGCCCTACCTATCCTTTTTGTGATATTATTGTACTATTCTCCGTAAAGGGTCCTGATGAAAAATGATTAAAGTCCTACACTGCAGGATTACAGGATTATGTATATGTTTATAATATACAAATAAAAATTAGATATTGTGTCAATTCCCAATTTTAGATATAGTAATATATGATGCTTGTTGAATAAATATCCCATACTTTTTATAGAGCCTGCAATTAGGATCGGTTTTCGTTCAATTTTATCTATCTTCATAAATGTTGACTTGGATTAGTTTTTCTTAAAAAATAATAAGGTAAAAAAGATATTTTAGCATTGAATTTTTAATAATAAATATAAAATACTACAACTAATACGAACGACGCTATTCGGATAAAAAATATGAATAATAATTTAATGTGCTATGGAATGAGCGACTAAACGCCATTTTACAATATCATATGTGTCGTATAGGTGATATGAGATGCCGTCTTTGAATGCAATCAAATCGTTGATAGCAGAATGATTTAACCATAGTGTGTCGTATTATTATAAGATTAGTAAAATGATTTAATAGTTGATACAAAGACTGGTCTTTTAAATGTAATGATTACTCTATGCATAAAATAGTAATCTATAACATTTAATTTATTTTGTTAAATCTAAATACCATTACAATAATTTAGTTATACACTAACACCTAACTTATGAAATTAAACATAATTATAGTAATTATTTTTAAAGCTCAAATTTTGCTCATTTCTTATTCTTTTTTTGACTTATGAAATGTATTTATTATGAGCCATAAAATAATTTTATGACATTGCAAATGAAATATTAAAAATGTTTTAATTCATATTTACAACTAAAGAAATAACAATCAATAATTCGTATTATTTTATTATTTTTAATGCATATTTAATATTTGATTGTACAATTTTTAATATAAACGTAATAAAATTATTATAATAACATCATAAATTAAAAATAGAGATATTGGTTCAAGATTTTATTCTTGTGGTTATGACATGAATTCTTGACTGGCGGTATGAATGATTTCATAACAAAGTTTCTTCATTGGTATCATATTACATTTATCTTTTAAATACATTGTTTACGTATATTATAACAGATTGCTTTTATAAAATATCATTTTTTAAATATATATATACCTTTATATACTCATATATAATATGATATCTACTTCGAAGCTTGTATTGGGTACATAGTTTACAAATATATGATATTAATTATGTAAATTGAACGTTAAACTCGACGATTTTTAATATTAATTCAGTCTATATAATAATCATGTGTATTTTAAATCGTAAAAATTTATAATTTATAACAACTAAAACTTTTAAAAAATATTATTAATCTAAGAAAAAATTTAAAAAAAAATAAATGTTTACAAATAGCTCAAAAAAAAAAAAATGTCTTAATTATTAATAAGAGTAAAAAATACAAACATAAACATTTGATAAATATTTCAAATGTTTACGGTTATTAGTCTATGAGTTACCCCTTTAAAAAATTGATTTTATCGAAAAATAATCTTACGGTTATTTTGAAAAAATACTGAAAGTTTTTTATTTTAACCCGTTTAAAGTACAAACTATCAGAAACTACCCTCAAGGTTGAAAGTATTTTTTTGATTACTCTTATCGTGTATACATACGTACACATCATTGTAAAATCTGTAAAATCAATACATTTATCGTCCCGCTTAGAATCTAAAATGTATGAGGCTTTATGCTAAAATCTAAACTCTAAAAATGATAATATACATTAAATATGAATTTTGATTTTATACTACTTATTTGTACTACAAAAAAATGAGCAACGTAAAATTAAAATAAATTACAAAAAAATTTTAAATTATTAAGCCAATAAAAATAATAATTTTTTATGATAAAGTGGATATGTGGGGTACCCTAATCATTTTTACACCTTAGCCAACTAAACCTAATTGCGATACCGTGTATGGTATCGCCTAATATATTAATAAATTTAATAACAAAGATAATAATTTCAAAATTAAAAAATTATATTATGGTATTATTGAATACAAATTAAAAATTCATACTTATATCTAATGATAGATTATACTCACAGTTTGTTACTTACTGGTTTCTAGAAAATTACAAATTTATCATAAATACATACTTAATATTATTCTACACAATTCTATATTCTATGACAATTGCACATTTACCATAAAGTTCTAAGAATAAAGCTAAATATGAACTAAAATAAAAAAGTATTACATAAATAGCAAACACCGGCGGTTAGTACTCAGTTAGCGGGCTCATCATTCGCATAATACGTATTTGTGAATATTTATAAACATATTAGTAAAATTAATTTAATCAGATGACATTTATTTTTATTTTATTAACAGTTAATTATTAGTAATTTATTACTACGGAATAGATATAATATAATAATACTAAACGACTGACATCCTCGTACAATATGCAGTGTATTAAATATAAATTAACTACCACTTGCAATGTAGGTTTGATTTGTTTACATCTTTATCACACATCACGAATAATTTACATCTAATTTATTGTCATAATGCTGAATGATAATGTTATTATTGTAAATTGTTTAAATTAAAATTATTTTTAATAATTTTTTTAAGTAATTTTAATAATTAACAATGATTGTAATATAAGACGTATAACCATATTAAATAATATGTTGTATTTTTACCAGATATTACAAACAATAAATTACAATATAACTGTGTGCTCTATGTAGTACAATATAATTATGAAATATATAAAACTGACTCATAAATAAAGAAAAAAATGCTCACTACTCATAGATAAGTATATTGTAAGTAGTAAGTACTATATAAAAAAAAAAAAAAAAAACGGTTAAATAATAATAAAATAAAACAACTAAAATGATACTAGTATGTATACAACTAAAACAATATAACCCTATTTTGTTTTATAAAACTTAATGACTGGTAAATAATATATTTGTTCTGTTAATTTGTAGCAGTTTTTTATTTTTATTATTGATCTTTTTAAGCTCGGCAACTTAGGTCATTTGCTGTAGAAAGGTACAGTAGCTTTTTTTTTTTTTGTTTATGGTTTTTAAGGTTGGAACACGTGTTGTAAATGTGTGTGCGCCATGATTTTGACACTAAGAACCCGGGTGGTCACCCATCCGAGAGCTAACGACGTCGACCGATGCTTGACCTTAAAACACATTAGTGACTGAGGCCAACCACCGCGCAATACCAGGCCACTTGTGGTAGTTTAATATATTACAAAAGACCACTTCAGTAAAATGTTCTTCTTCAACAATATTTGTAATTGTATTCCATTCAAACTCTATTAAAGAATCAAAAGCGTCATTATCGAAAGTGTTGCAGTGGCTATTGGATGTACATTTAATATAATTTTTCAATCAAAAGTTTTTAATTGGATCACATTTGGGTTATTTTCTCCGCAACATTATCAACATTATCTGATTCAAGTAAAGAACCATTTAAAATAGTCTTTAAAAACATGTAGGTAAAAATACTTAAAATATATTTTAGACTAGGTATTTCTTTAAAAATTACATATTCAGCAAATGAAAAAATAAATACCGACAAGTGTGTACCGCTCTGCTGTACGCTTGTACTGTAACCTTAAGTATCGGCTGGATCGCAGTAATAGATGTATTAATTTTAATTCAGTCGTGTACGAAAAACGATTCCAAGAAAAGGCCTTCTACCAGCCTATTATATCACTAAATTTATTTGATTACGTGTTCTCCGTGCTCTATAATATTTCTACATAGGTATTAAAATAATTTCACTATTAGTATTACGGTTAGTTGATATATTTTTTTCCGAAAACATTGCATTTATTTCATCATTAATATTTAATTATTTTAAAAATATAAATGTATACGTATATTTTAAATGTTCGTGTTTTTTACAATGCAAAACAAATTTTATCAACAATAATCCAAAACACAATAAATTGTAATTATTTAAAATCGTTACATCATAAATCAATTAAGAAACAAAATATATGATTGACATTTAACATAGGTTAATTGTAACGGTAGAAGAAAAGCTATTAGAGTTTACAGAATGTAATATAATAAAATATCATTATTTTTGTCTACTTTTTGTCTATTTTAGATACCAAAGGGCAAAGAATTCAGTTACCAATTTTTAATCAATTCTCCAACGGGGCTATGACATAATATGGGCAATTGACTTGTGGATTCCAATATTCTGTTATTTTGTTCGCGGTATTTGATTTCTCCAGTTACTCCTACAAGATACTTATCGTCCAATAACTTGTTTCGCCCAAATGGTAACACTAAAGGATATATGTGTTCAATGGCAAGTTTAACAATTGCTTCACTCGGAGCTGTGGACACAATATAATTCAATGAATAAATGTTATAATATGATATGCTAACAAATATCTTTTTTTCTTATATCTCAGATAATTTTCTTACCATTTACAGTTATGCTACCAGTAGAATATATTTTTAATGTAGCTTTAAAAGCTTTAATTTTATAAGTGACGCCAGGATGTAACTCAGGTTCATATCTATTAATAAAACACTTAAGTTAAAAAAAATCACAAAGAACTTTATATCAGAAATTGTAACCACTTATTGAATAAAAAAAAAAAACCCACTGTAGTTTTTAATGCATACTTTGTATAGCGTTTTTCTTTTCTTTCTTTTTTTTTTTTGGTAAATTACTATTTTTTTTTAATTGAAATAAATGTTTAATGCATAAAATAAAAAAATAATAATAATAAAATATAATTACAATAAAAACTAGTTCATATTTAAACATGAATGTGATAATTAGGAATTGGATTTATAATAATATGTAGAGTTAGGATATTGATGACCTAAAAAACACACAAAAATGCCCTACAAAAAAATGCAAAAATGTCCTAAAAACTTCAAAAAAATACTTTAAAAATTATCTAAAAAACTAATTAAGTAAGTGAAAAAAAATTATTTATAAATAATAATTTTAATTATAGATATATAACACTCAAAGTATCAAACAGTAAATTCAAACCCAAAGTTAAATTTAAATTAAATAAATTTGTTTCAAACTTGAGTTTAACACTTTTGCTTTAATTTAAAATTTAAGAAAAATGCCCCACATTGTACAAAAACTACAAAAAATAACCTAAAAGATGAAAAAATGTCTTGAAAATGTTGAAAAATAACGTTAAAAACAAAAAAATACAAAATAAAATTAGAATATTCTGCATCAAGGGATCATGAAACAAATTTTTAGCTAGGATAGCATTGTATAAAATCAAAGGAAAAAAATACAAAAGTCATCAACATCCTAGCTCTAATACATAATATGCATTAGAAATTCAAAATATTCAGTATTCACATCACATATTTTATGCCAACATTTTTATTCACATATTCAACAAAAATAAAATGAGTATTTATCAACGTATGCTCATTGGTGAAACCTTATCCAAGAGTGCTAAGAAAGAAAAGCTTTGACTAATTTTAAAATGTTTACAATGTTGTATTATATATTACATGTATATAAGACTAAGTTACAAAACAAAAAAAAATTGTACACAATTAGTTACAACATTAAATTTAGCAATAAATCTAAATCATTAAATATTAGTAGACTAATAACAATTGTGTACATCGACATAGGAAACCATAGATTAAGCTAATTTAATTTATAAGTTTTAAGTCATATATTCTGTTAAATTGGGAATTATTGTATTATGCATTAGATACGCATAACAAACTAAGAAAATAATCATATAATAACCAAATTTACCAAAAATTCTTAGTCAGTAAATATTAGTAAGCTACTAACAATTATATATATATATCAACATTAGAAACTAGGTTAAGCTATGATAATATATAAGAAATTAGAGAAGACCGGAAGTGATTTTTCAGCGATGATAGGGTTAACTCGGTCACTACATTATAGAACACCACAGTGTCAATAAAATAGTGAAATGCTTATATTTTTAGACAATTGTGTGTGTTTCGATTTATTAATGTACGTCCAAAACGATCGGCATGTACGACAACAATCACAATTTTCTTTATTTGCTGTTATTTTCATTATTTTATCGATTATAATCAAAATAGTATTTACTTACGTACTAATACTGATTATATTAATATAATATAGATATTGGTATGCGCCTATAATATAATAATTAATAACAGTTAAAGTTGTATTTCATAAATAATACGATGTTTTTTAGTTGTATATTGTAAAATCTAAATTTTCATGATTTTTTATTTATTAATATTCTGAACAGATTTTTCGTTTACGAATCACCTTATGTTTAATTTCAAATTTGAAATTCTACTAAAATTAAAAATGTTTTAGAAATCAAATGTGTGTGCTTTTATCTTTTTATATAGGTCAAGGTCCTGATATTTTTAATTGTTGTTATAAATTGGAACGAACAGGTTAGTTAAGTATTACACCAACAATTTCCGACTAAATGGATTTGTTTTTATTTTCTGCAGTTTAAAAATAGAACAACAATGGAATTGTGCGATGATATGATATTGTTTATATGTTTCTGAAAAAGAAATTTATTTACACATGATACATTTGAGTATTTGACACTACATACAACCAATAATGAAATTGTGAAGATAATAATAATGACATCATATGCGTATTTTATTAATAACTTTATAAAATTGAGTTTTTAACAATCAATAAATAAATAATAATAAACAATCACTTGAGTAAATCATTCATCATAATGCATTAAGTTATTAATAAATAACGATTAAAATAAAATGTTTAACTATTGAATATGCTTATGTATTTTATTATCTTTTAACTCAATATTAATTAATAAAAATGTATTAAACATTACAATTATTAAGGAATTACACGTTAAATTGTCGGGTAAGTTATTTTTTTATTTATTTCTTATTCGCCGGTTATTCTACTCGTACCAATTTCTTTATTTTCATTTTGTACTGAGTACCTAGTACTCCATATATTAATAGATTCCTTTCATTAACGCTAATAATTATATTACCTAAGAATATTATATCAGAACAATACAATACATACATATTTCTAATTATCATTTATATCACTATTCAATAATATCATTAAAATACGAATTACTAAGTTCTTTAAAAAAAAAAAATAATAATATTGAATTTATAATATTATTTACAACGATTTATATTATATTTAGTTGGCATATTGAATAATTTTTTAATATGTACTTACTGAGAATTTGATCTGTATTTTTCGGAAAATTGTATAATTCTGATATAAAATGGCAAGCTACATGAACCAAGAACATTGACAATTTTGAAACCACTAAATTTTGCTTCAGCATGTCCCAGTCTTTGAATAATCCTAGCAATACGTTTTGAAGCTATTTTTGAATCATATTCAGATGCTGAACCAATACAAACTATTTTTCCACTCGACCATATATTTGCTGTAGTACTTGGCTTACGTAACTTCATTATAAGTTTCTAAAATAATATTCAAAAAAATAATAATAATATTAACATATTTAAATTCAAAAGCACTAAAATATAATAAATTATTAATAGTATAATATTACCGCTTTTTCACGTCTATACTCCACATTGTGACCATGCAATGCTATATGTCTGAGATTTAAATGCGATTTCACATTAAAACTAGCTGATACGTTACTTATATTAATCAATATTTGATTATTGATGTTTGAATAGTCTTGTATAGGTTTTATAGGATTTTCCTCTTGACCGTGAAGATCGTTATTGAAATAAATCATGTTTGCATTTAAATTTAATGGAGATATATTTAAATTATTTTTGTTTTTTAATTTAATAACAGGTGTCATGTTGATCTGTAAAAAAATAAATGTATAAATTAATTCTATTGTTGAACTTAAACTATAAAAAAATACAAATGCTATTTGTTACATGTCACATCTTAAGTTGTAAATGGTATAAATGTATTTAGAATCAATTGCAAATTTTTACCTATCTTGCACTGAAGTATCTTAGATTGTTCTAGAGGAGATATCATAAAATAACTATTTCTTAAAATCAAAAATATTATTTAGAATAACATTTATATCTATAGTATTTAGTTTTATTCGATTTAATTATCTGTTTTTAAGTTATTAGCTTATTCTACGATAACTAAAACAAAGATAGTTAAATTATATTGTGGATATCACCTTTTATATAGATTTTTCAACAGTATTTCTTGCAAAAAGTATTTATTTTTTAGTACAAAACTAGTAGTTATTGCAATTTGTTTTTTTTTAAATAATTATTATCTATTAAATGTTAGTTTATTAAAAACAATTATAGCGCAAAAGGATGTCACTTAAGTTATAAAAAATGATCCAGAACAATCACGAATTTATTTTAATTATTTTTACTAAGGCTCACAGTTTTTGTAGTAAACGCCTTTTTAGTGGGGAGTATGATAGAAAGTTAACTCTCATAATTCATAATTACATTATGTATCATTCTGATAACAATGGAAAATCCTTAAATTTTCTTTTTACCATTGTAATAACACAAAAATAAGGAAAATAAAAATAAAGGTAGTTAAAAATAGGGTTAAAAGTAATGTGAGATACGGCCGGACTGACACAAGGGACACAAGCCTTGTATGTAAGTCCGGTATTAATAATTATTGAATATACTTGTTCTCGTGTTATTACCTTCCTCCTGTTCTTTGGAGGGTTCTTAAGATCGTGATTCAAGAATATGATCAAATACACCGTTACGTAAATTAGATGGTAAAAGAATCTGTACTAACAATAAGTATTTCACCGTTAGGTTCACCGCAGTGAATACCTGTAGTGCATTCCTCGGAGAAAGATGCAAGGTGACACAAGTTACGATACGACTTAAGAAAAACAACTCTGATTTAACTTATAAAAAAAGGAAGTTCAGCTGTCGCTCGCAGAATCTTGTGGTGTAAGGTGTATAGTGGTTTTTGAGTAGAGCTTTTGCACGCTTGTCTGGTGCGCCTGCACTTGTAAATTTTGTCGGTGCTCATGCACTCGATAGTTTGGCTGGTGCTCATGCACTGGTGAGAGAAGACGACGTGGTCAAGACAGCCAAAGTCGCAGGCAGCTCAAACAAAGGCCTCCGCGTCCTTAGAGAAATTGGCTTTCTCCCCGACGACGGAAAGCCTCATAGGACCCTCCCTTGTCTCTGGCGGCACACGAAAATAAATTACACGCTGTGCGCCGTATTGTCACAATAACGTGTGAGTTCCTATGTGACGAAACAATGTAAATTGTTTCTCTCATCAGTGATTAATAGCGATTATTGGTTTTTATTGAGGGCTATCTGCGTGCGACAACTTTACCGTTATTTATTTAATTAAATAATAAAATGTACAATAAATTATGATGTGTGAGCATATTATTACACCATAATATCATTGTTTAATAATTTTTGTACAATTTTCTCAAAAATGTTACCCATTTTAAAAAATGTATTAACAAATAACATTCATAATGACACTTCATCAGATATTAATTCAGTTTAACAATTTAATTTACAATAAATATGTTCCTCTAACATCAACTGACGAAGAAGGATCATATTTTTCAATGCATAATGTCATTATAATATACTATTAGAGCCTAATCTCAATTTTAACAAAACTAATCTAATTAAATATAATATACTAGTAAATTCGTTTTTTATCTTAATAGGTATACGATTTTATTTTTTCTACTTTTGCAGTATATTTTTGTATTTTTCAACCTTAAATTAAATCAGTTTTTTGGGGGATCTATTATAAACAATTTTTCAAAGATTTATTTCGCGACAAAATCAATATCTTAATTAATAATTATTATCGTCATCAATAATTGTTATTTACATTATGACCGCAAACACAAAAACGTAATTGTTAAGTCACATAACGTTTGACATTTTAAGTGTAATTAAAATGAAAAATAAAAAAAAAACTTTTTACATACATTTTTTCAAGCATTACAAAACACTTAAATAATAAAACTACAATAGCGTGACACAACCGATACGACAAAGCTGATGTATAATTAAATAAGTACCTAGTTAATATCTAATACCTAGTAGCTGTGGATACATATTTAGGAGTTTAGTAGTTAATTTAGCTACAGTCGAAATATACCATATAAGAATTATTAATACCTACGTTCCACGAACGACGTAGAATTTATTTATTAATAAAAACGGTATAGGTTTCCACGTTTTTCTAAAGTCGAAATGCATTGTGTAATTTCGATATTTTTTTTCTACGTCTGATCATTAGAATATAGTATGGGTATCAGGTAGTAGATACTGTCATAGGCGCAACTAGACCTCTAAAATGCGGGGTACTAAAACTGTTAATACCTCACAGAGCCGTGATATTTCAGTAAAACGATAACAGTAAGGTATAAAAGAATTAGAAGTGCTAAAGACCCTTTTTTACACTCCCCGAGTTGCGCCACTGGGTACTGTTGATTTTTGTGATGATTGTAAATTTAGAGATTAATGTTTTTAAAAGTGTAAGTTTAAATAAAATCACGGCAGAGACTCTGCTGTGATTAAAACTGAATGAAACAATGAACGTAACAATTGTACAACGATAAGTATTAAAATGACATAAAAAATATGTAACAATGTTAAACGCTTAAATTAAACACAGTATTAGTTCTTAATGACATAAAATTAAATTATATTTTTTAAATCCAAACTCTGGACTCGTGAGTATATAATACCTACCTACAAAGTAGGTCCTACATATTCCCAAAAGTACAATTTTCAAATCGACATTGGAAACGTAAAATATAAAAAAGTATTATAGATAAACGCCTACTCTTTAATTATTAAAACACACTCAATAACAGACAACGAAACATGTGTCATGGTGTGTAATGACATACGTCGTATTTGAGCCAGTAGGTGCTCAAATTGTATATTATGGTTTATAGGATAAAAAAAAAAAAAATTAAATATACATACGTTAGGTATCTGGACGACACGACGGTGTCCACAAGTAGTCGTAGATCGATATTGTAATATTAAAGTAATGTTATTATTGACGTAGAGTTCTACTGGGCTGTCGGCGTGGAACGTGTGCGGCGACGATTGCTTGCGAAGTGACCGATTGCGCGTTTTATGAAAAACGATTAAAAAAAAAAAAAAAAAAAAACGGGAGGACCGTGTACGGTATCGACACCAAAAAATATATCGTCGACGACGAGTTAGGTTGTACGGAGAATAAAATACGTAAACGAAAATATTAAAATGGCATGTACGATGTAGAACAGACTGAGGAGGGGGTGGAGGAGTAGAAGAAAAAAGGACGCGGGAAAGAGCGAGGAAAACAAAATTAAACAACTAAACGCCGAGAGACAAATCGCAATGATGCAACGCCGCTAGGACTTATGTGTATGATGACTTACAGCGACGCACTGCCCGCTGGCAACGGAATAACACGACATAGTATTATGCGATATATTATTATTATTATTACTATTATAATACATACGAATTTATTATGGCGACTAGCGTGCATAGAGGATGCGACCAAACTCTCCCGTCTGATTGACTGCAGGACGGCGTCTCGTCGAACGTTACGCAGTCATCATCGGAAATGCGTAGGTACCATAATATAATATTATAATATTGTTACGTGGTGTGCGTGTATGTGTGTATGTGTGTGTGTGTGTGTGTGTATGTGTGTTTGCTAGAAATTAATAAAAATTATATTATATTATTATTACACAGACGTTCACCGTCGCCTTTGTAAATGATAATATCCATCGCGTTATCATTGTTGTTATTATTATTACTATTATTACTATTAAATATTTATTGTATTCAAGGCCGTAACTGAAAACAAATTTCGGTGGTCTGACTTTTTTTTCTTTACAGATGATAATGGACACTCGTCGTTTTTACTTATCCTATATACCTAAGCTCTGCGTTCCGTTTCTTAACCTATTACTCGATGCCCTAGGCTTTGATATTGGTGGTATCATGACAATGAGTTTTTACAAGACAGGAATGTCAACCGACCTGGAGGACCGGATCACAACGACTGTTTAACTATTGCAGTCAATAATAGCCAATTTATACACACCTATTATTTATAAAAAAAAATCTTGAATCGCACAATTGGTATTATGAATTAAATTTATTAATGTTGTAAAAAAAAAAAAAAATACTACCAGACAGTATTATATTCAAATCAATTGTGTTATATATATGAGTATATGACCTATCACGTAAAACAATGCAATATAGATGTTATGCATGTATAATGCACATTATGTCACTTACTCATATCAATTTTTTAAATCATAAGGTTTGTGTATAACATGTCTCATAGTTTTTTATAAGTAGGCCCGTAATTTATGTACATTGAAGTATTTTTTTTATGACTTCTGATTATTGCTTTTTTTTATTTGTCCAAAAATTACGTCACGTTAAAGAAAATAGTGTTCAGTAAGAAAAATTACTTATGAAGAACTTTTTATTATGTATTCAAACTTGGCTGTAAAAATTAACTATTTTGTATATTTTTAACTAGAAAATAATTAATGAATTTAAACGATTTTGACAATTTTTTTTAAAAAATTGAAACGCAAATATTTATTAAAAAAATTATTTGAATATATTTGTATGTTTCTATTAAACAACATACAAGATTTTGTAATTAATTTTCAAGTTTTTTGACCAAGTCTAAAAAGTTTTATCTACACTAAAAAAAAAAATCGTTTATTTGAAATACCTATAAATAGTTTAAAATTTGTCTTGTTATTTTGAAAATATTATTGTATGTATGTACAAAGTAATAATTTAAATAAAAATGCAGGCGAGTTTAAAATTTTACGATTAATATTTTTGTATTACAACAAAAAAACTTAAATCATCTGATAAGAAATTGTTATTTTATGAGTGAATTTACAATTTCGTTAAAATGAAAACTTCATACACTCATAAAAAATTATTATGGATTTTCCTTAAACACCTAAACTCCAATAATAACAACTTCATTAGAAACCTGAAACCTGGTTAATGTGTTTTGTCACGGTATAAATTTATTTTGTATTTTTATGGCAAAAAACATTTTTTTTTTTTTAAATGTCAAAAGTAAAGTACCTTTTCAACAATCATTGAAAACATGAAAGTATGCATGAACGACTGTTTTGTTAGTTACTTAAAAGTGTTTAAAAGTTTTAGTATTTATGTTTCAACATCGTTAACTTCTTTTTTGTACTTTCAATAGTTTCTTTTTTTAAACGTGTATTTGATCAGGCTATAAAATTTAATGGATAACGTTGAACTATTGGTCTAAATAACCACATATTTATTTTTAATATATAATTAACTTTAGAACAATATCGAAGTTCTAATGGTACAATTGAAAACATAAAATTGTCTGATCAGTTGTTACTTGTTGAAGAATCGTCATTAAATTTTTGTCTGTACTCTGTACTATTACTGACCAGTGACCACCACTGCCATCACAACCTCATTTATACGACATTTCTAGTTGTGTCAAACTTATACTAATTTTACATGTTCCTAATATTTAATAGATTCTATTATTTTTAAGATCTAAAAGATTTTGTTGTGATATGTTATTAGGCTAACAGTGTTTTTTCATCATTATTATATTTTCATACAATAAATATAAAATACAATTTTTTTTTTCTTTTTGTACCCAGACAATTATTTACATATTATTTTTTAGTGAGCTCATTGTCAATAAGAAACAATATAGAGGTTCATCTGGTGTACAAGAAATCGAATAGTTAAAATAATTAAAACTTAGTTTTATTTTATATTTAGCTCTATCTGGAGATAGGTACTTAAGTTTCCTCAAATAATTGAAAAACAATTCTTTGGCCAAACAAAACCATTTTATTTTTTGCAGCGCATACAATTTCTATTGATTTTGTATTCGTTTTCTTTTAAAACTTGGTACAAATAGAATAATTGATTGGTCAGGAATGGATTAAGTAGATTTTTTATTAAGTGGAGTATTAAACCATTTGATATTATTATTATTATTATTATTTTAATATTATAATTTATATTTACTTTGGACCATTTTCTTGAAGCTGCCAAATAAAATTTCAAAAAAATGTTCTTAAATTTCTTTGTACGAAATAGAACCGTTTAACTTATTTAAATTTTATCACATACATTTGTATAGGTAATACTTTTCTTGAATACATTTAAGTTAGACATTGTATTAATTCTCTTTGATGTATACTAAATAATAATCAATAAGATTGAGATTAGATTTTTCTCATTTCGAAAAGTAGCATTAACTGAAAAAAATATATTTATTATAAATTATATGAATAACAACAACAAATAATGCATTAACTACGTATAAATTAATGGTTCCGACCGAATAACAGTTTGTAATACATAAGTACATAACCTAAACGACAAATTTGAATATTTTTATCTAACTAACTAAAAATTATAAGATACTTATCAGTTAGTATTGTTCATCCATTTTTAAAAATTTCTAATTTAAAAATGTACAAATAAAGAAATAGCTACAAATTAATAATAATTTACAATAATAAATAATACAGTACACTTATTTTATAAACAATCGATATGAAAAAATTGGTAGGTATATTGAACAAATTGTTCAATAATGCAATATTATATAATGCAGGCTTACTTACCTTATCTTTACAACTATCAATAATCAAATAATTATTTTATTTCACTTCATTGTAATTAAAAAACGTATTCAATCCCCTATTAATCATGACTGCCGACTGGAAAATTACTACGGTCTATACTCTACAATAAAACTTTGTATTAATGCTCACTCATTTATAAATATACGTTTTATACAATTTTTTTTTTTCATTGTTATACGCATTTAATTATATTATATACATTACAATTATAATATTTTCCCAATATTTTAAAACAATTCTAAACTATTTTGTTAAGTCTTTTGAAAAATATAACGATAGCTTTTTAAAAATGAAAAATAATGAAAATCTGTGTTTAGAATCAGTCATGCGTGATCCAAGATAAGCAAGCGAGAAACCGAAAAAAATATTTTACCCATAATTGAGATTATGAAATATAGATGTTTAAGTATAATACTTTAAATACTTAAGTAACAATATTATCGTTTAACTTCAATTATTAATTTATAGTATATTATTAATAAAATATTATTTTACTAATATTGTTTAATTATTTTTTTTAATTGATTATTATCAAATCTGAACAAACAGAAATAAATTAAAACTACTTCATAATATATATAAGTATTCAAAAATAAAACAAAAAAATTGTTAAATATTAGTACTAACAGTTAATATTATTGCTTTAACATAGCATTAACGATTATTACTATGTAAGCTAAAATTTAAATTGAATTTAATATTCCAATGTGGGTCATTTACCACCACACCGTGGCCAAATGCCCTCCTTGGTTTCGCAGTTCCCCTTATATTGTATAAATATATAATACTCCACTTGACACTGATTAGTGGTGAGTATCTTTATTAGTCCTTCAAAAAATAATATAATAAATTACATATTTAAATTCTACATAATAATATGTATGGTAACCTTTGACGCTTCAACATAGACATGCCAATAATTCTCAACTGAAATGTCACAGTCCACAAACATGGTTAGTGTTTCCTTAAAATGCCTAATAGAAGATATAAAATTAAAAGTATTTAATTTTTCATTAAACAATAAACATATGATCGGTTATAAGTTATAACATAATACAAATTATACATCTATATGAAAAATAATTTTGTTCTCTACGTATTATAAAAATGTTTTCTGGAAAGTAACATTAATTTTTACATTTAATTTTTTACAAGCAAAGTTTAAATTTTTACATTCACTTTTAATATACCTATTTCAAACGTCAGACAATTTTTCATACTGTTTTTAATTCAAAAACAAATATTCGTAGAATTATTAAAAAATTCTCACCAAATGTTTATATTATCATTTTATAAATATTCCGACTCATTTTTGAATTTTTGATTTTTTTGAGAATGTTTTTCTATAAATGCCTATCAAAAATTATTAACTAGGGTAAAAATCTTAAAAAATTTATAAAATTCACATAAGTCTTACTTTTATCTGTATAAAAATTATTAAAGTACATTGGTAAAATTTCTTTTTATGCGTTTGAAATTCAATTTTTATAAAATTGTTTAAAATCACGAAAGTTTAATTTTATAGTACAAAATGTATAAAATCTTCAATTATTATAGCTTAGATTTGAAAATGCAAAATAATTTTCCATCAAAGAAGTCAATACCGGAATTAAAAAATCTAAAAAATATACAAAACAGTAATTTTTTGTACGTATTTTTAATTAATATTTGAACAAGATTACATATTTTAATGATGAATATCAATATTAATTATTTTTTTTACTTAGTTCAAAAACATTATTTATGTAATATAAAAGTATACAACTTTTATGTATATTATGAATTTTACTATTCCCAATGATATTTTCAAAATATTTAGATTAATTTTAAGATATTTTCAATTTATACTATGACGCTATTCAGTATTCACACAGTTAGACAGTATTTAAGTATTAATAGCTCAAAAGTAACAAAATTTAATAGCAATAATCTATAAAATGGTATAAATTTATATTATTACAATAATTAAATACTAATAATATAATAAATGCAATATTTTCAAAAAAATTTAATCAACTTACCATAACTCTAAAAATAAAATAAATTACTTTATCATGAAATATAATACTTAATGCTATCAAACTATCTACGCTCAGAATCATTATACAATAATGTATTATTTAATTACAATTTAATACTCACAACAGTGACCTATACATTACTTAATGTTCAGCAAAACAGTGCCCAGTTGCCTACCTTTTTAAAATGTTATCATGTATAGAAAATGATCATACAAACATTACAAACATTTGATAAAAATTTCAAGTATCTATTATGGTTATTCGTTTTTCAATTACAACAAAATATTTAAAAATATTAAATGAGAAATAGTTATTTTACGGATGAATATACATTGTCATAAAAAAATAAAATTTTAAAGCTCATAAAAAATGAATTTGAATTTCCGGTAGGATATGTTTTTAGTAAAGTTTAAAAAAATGTATTGAACTTTATATAATATTTTCAATTATGAAATATAAAAAGAAAAATGCTTATAAATTTCTATGATAATTTGAAAAATTTTGATATTATACGAATTTTATTGGAATTTTAAATTTAAAAGCTTATAGAAAAATATTATGACTATGATATTTCGATAATTTTATTTAGTAAATGTACAGTTTATGAATTACCTTATATTAAATTGTCAAACATGTTTACCCGAAGAATAATATTTCATTAAAATGTATAAAATAAAAAAATAAATGGAAAAATTTAAATGTTTATAAATAGCTTCAAAATATTTAAAAATTTATATCATGAGCTTTGTTACTCCTAAATATTAAGTTTAAATTAAGTTAATTTGTTGACGAACAAAAATATTTGGTCACAATTTTATACAGTTACGGTTATAAGTTTTTGAGTTACGCCTTTAACAAAATCAATTTTGTCAAATATTGGTTATTTTATGTCGATTATTTTGAAAAAATACTAGACGTTTTAAATTTTAAACTCTTCAAAGTACAATCTAGATCCAACTTTCTATCCAAAACCCCCCCTCAAAATTGAAAATCGAAGCATTTTTTCGACAACTTATCGTGTTAAAAATTAATATATTCATAACACCGCTAAGAATCTAAAACATAACATGAAATATTCTGAACAATGTAGGCTGATAGTGTACCCCCCTGATACTACTATATATTTATATTTACTAATTTACACTATTTTCTAATAGACACTACGGATAAAACACTTTTATTTTTAAATGAGCAATACTAACACACATTTATATAACTGTGAATACCCAATTACAAAAAAAAGACAAACCAGTTTTTGACATTATCTTAAGTGCCTTGTTTAAATATTGTATTATGACTCGTTGACTGAAATGACTATAATAAAAGTGATAATCCCGTGTGATACATTTATACAAATCAAACGGATGCGTAAAATCTTTCTACACTTTAGTAGGTGCTGCTAAATATATTTATAAACACTGCGAGCAGCGTTTGTAATAATTTTTCCTATAGTTTAGAAGCCAACTGGAGAAATAAAGTAGCAGTTTAGGAAGGGTTGGGCTTCATGGAGGTTTAATTATAGATCTCTATTTCTCACCAAATAGTATATTATACAGTTATTTTAAAACCGTTCTACACCGTCTACAGTTCGTTTACTTGTGTCTTTGAGAACATATCAAAAAACCAAATGACACAAACGCTGTGAAGTAGATACTTACACGCCGATACACTTGATAAAATTAATAAATATTGTTGTATCTTACCAAATCTGGTCACTTGTTTTTTACATGGTAAATAGGTTTAACAAAACGGAATGCTAAAATGGTGATATTCAACGCAGAATACATTCCAGAGTACAAATGGATAATGCTAGAGGTATACCTAGAACTAAAATTATATTATAATATTATTAATTTACAAATAGTTTTCATTTTTGCGTTAAAAATACATTTTTACATTGTTTAATGTAATGTAGTTCAAACCGGAAAAAAATATAATTTTTTCAAAGTCAAACCATTAAATAAATACCTGTAATTAACTAAAAAAAATAATCTTCATTTTGTTACCTTTTTTGAATTATAATTATACTCAATTTATTTATCAAGATTATAATATAGATAAATAATAATTATTTTAAATTTTTAATACAAAGATGTATTTTAAATTTTAATGGAAACTCAGTAACATAAAATTTAAATGTCATGCAACATTAGACATAGAAATAGTAGATAGTTAGCTAAAAATGTTTATACTCCATGTACATTTTTCTTACAAGAATAAATCATAGAAAAAGTTCAATGCAGTTCCAAAAATACTTTTTTTTAGCGCTTGAAGTTTTGATTTAAATTTTGACAAAATTAGATTATTTCTCGTAAAACGATTGTAAATTTTTATTTTTATTTATTTATTTTTTTTTTTTATCTATCACTTAAAGTATGCAATGAAAATCTGTCATATTTATTAGTGCTTATATCGTCTAATAATGTAATCCTCGGCTAGGTCGCAAATAAAGATTTTGATTACCCATGTTATTACTTACAAATGATTTCCAATAATTCTTAAAATTATTGATTCATAAATATTATCGCATAACAAATAATACTTATTAATTAAATTAAAATCCATTATGTTAGTAAGTGATTAGCAAATACTTAATTGTGTATATTATTCTATAAATCTATGTTTTTATAATTATATATATATATATTTTTATTAAGAATGATAGTGAATTATAGAAGAGAGATTAGTAGGTAAGGAATGATTGGATAAATACTCCTAAGACATATTGCTAGAAGTGTTCTAAGATATTAAAATGTACTTAATTTTTTTATATCATACTTAAAATCTAAATTTGTATATTCAATATGAGTATACAAATATATATATATATATTTATATATGATATATTTGGAAAATTTTATTACATTTTTTAGTACATGTTCTTATTAATATTTATTATTTTCATTATTATTTTATAAATTATTACCTAAAACTATTTTTATATTATAATAAATTAATCAGTGCTTATAATTTATATTTGTTGCTCATTAATTAAAATTTAGAACTTATTATTTTGATTTTAATAAAATACAAAATTTTCTGTAATTTCATCCTTAATTGTATAAATATATAATTTATCAGAAATCAAGTAAAAAAATAATCAAGTACTATTTACATTGATTGAATAAATAATCCTCATTCCATAACAATTGTATGATTGATTTTAAATGTGCTTAAAAATATAACACTTAGTTAATACCTTATACTGTGTAATTTGTATTACAGTCAAATTCCAATAGTAACAGCACTACCAATAAAGAACTGAGAACTTTGAAATGTAAATCCCGAAATAACGTAAGACTCTTTGTGATTCATAACAAATATTAAATCACAAAATAAAATAGACATTTTTCAGATTCAAGATCAGTATCATCATAATATTGAAACCGATTTTCAATCAATATTATATTTAATCAATTTAATAGAAAAAATGGTAAGATTTTTTAAATTTTAATCACTTAAATGCTTTTCTTCGATTTATATTTATCATCTTAATTTAAATTTTTGTTGCAGATAAAATACAATAACAAATACTATGAGAGAATTGAAAAAAAAAGAAAACAACAAATTATTGAACTACAAGGTTTAACTATGTTTTTGCAAGATATTTTTAATAATCTAAAAGATCTTTAGAATTTTAATTTATAGTTGTACGATATAGAATAGGTACCCATAAGTATTATTGAATTAATATTAAAAGTACTTTAAATATGTACATAAGTAGTTACTATGTACATTTTTTTAAAATTATTATAATACCTATTTGCAGAAATAACAATTTATGTATATACATTTTTATTGATTTTTTTTTGGTTTCTATTTACTTATTCACTGTTTTATTTATTTTTCCAACTTTAGTTTATTTTAAATCTAAAGATATTATAATAAGTATTTATCAATTTTAATTACTTTTTTTGTGTTAATAATAATTATCATTATATATTAATATTTAATACTAAATAGTACTTGTTATAGTATTTTATTTTTAAAATATATCAAAATATTTGAACTGTATAAAATAATTCAATGAAGCTAATTTTTTAAATATTTAACTACTTGTTCTATTAAATATAAACATGCTTGTTAATGTAAAATATTTAAAAATAATTTTTGAATTTATATTTTGTTTACTAGTTTAAACAAATACAATTATAACCTTTGATAATATATACTTGCATTAAATTAACATTTAAAAATACTTTAACAACCAACCCGATGTTTAAGTTATTTACACCAACTTATAGTTAGGTATGTTTCTTAAAGTTAACTATTGGGAGTTATACATTACAGTAACAATGTACTAAATAAATACATGTATGTAATGGATAAACAACAAATTTAAATTTAATTATTAAAGATAATATGATAAAAAGATAGTTATACACATTTATTTTAGATATGCCTTAAAAAGAAAATTTGTAAAATAGGTACAATAATATTAAAATATAATAGTCAAACTTCAACAAAATGAAGATCATTTTATATAAATTGCATATTATACAAACATTGTACGAAAAAAAATAATAAATTAAAATACAGAAGAATCTCGGTAATCTGACACATATATGACCATGCTACTGCCGGATTAACAAAAACGCCGGATTAGTTGAGAGTTCACAAAAAAACGCATTTTTATTTATTAAATTTTACATTTTTACTCATATTAAAAATTATTTAAAAATCTTTTAGGTTGAGAACAGTTTTTTCTTTTTGTTTATTAGGATTTAATCTGTTATTACTTAGTTTTATATAACGATTTGTCGTTTACGATAGTAAATTTATATATAAATACATATTGGTTCATATAGATTAATACAGTCGGATTACTGGTCGTATCGGATTATCAAACAGTTGGATTACTGAGATTCTACTGTACAATATAACACAGATTAGTGTATATATAATATAATTGTATACAGTATTAAAATTTAATTTATAAAAAATGTATAGTTCAAAGTAGCGATGACTTTTATTAATATCAATTACTTGCAGCTTGTCTTAAATAATAAATATTCAAATGTATGTTAGTCAAGAAAAACATTTTAAAACTTTCCAATTTAATAATATTGTAAAATAATAAAACATATATTTCAATAATTACAAAATAAACACATTGAAAATTGGTAACTAGCAAAATGAGTTAAAGTGACATAAAATACATTTCTCCTTTTATATTATGTATAATACTCTGATATGGTTTTGTCATACACCATTCATACCACACTTGGTACTTGTTACTGGACCGCCAAAAATTGATTTGAAGTTCTTCTCCTTTATTGAGAAATATTGGTTTTACAAGAGGAAAGAAAGCAGGAAACCAACTAAACATGCCTTCACTAAATGATTCAGGAACAATACTGAGACATACATCTTTGTAAAGCACAGTTTCGAAATAACCAGCAAATCCGTGCAAAACACAATCCTGGGAAATATTGAATTTCAAAAACCCATTTCTGTCATTACTCTCTTCTAGATTTTTTTTAGGGTGAACAAATGTAAAAAGTGCTTTTGCTGGAGCTATAGAATAGACATTATTTAATTGTACTACATAAGGTTTTTGAAAGTTACAATTATCTTTATTATTCCTAATGGATGATATTTCGGCATGCAATTTACGTGATTGTATTGGACCAAGATAAGAAGTATAGCTTGAAGGTATACTAATACCATCTTCTTTTAAATAACTTTGAGCCCCATCTAAACATTCTGGAGATAATTCATTATCTCCAAAAGATCCCAATAGTTCTGACACTAGAATATCACATTTTTCTGACGGATTCCATAACCGCATATCCTCATTAATAATAGTTACACGATTTTCCCATTTTTCTTTATTTTTTAAATACAATGATGGTAAAGCATTTTCATTTTTTTCAATGGCACTTATTTTAACTTTAATATTTGATTCCTTAGCTGCTTCGAACGTAGCATCTACTAATGGACCACGACCAGCACCAACAACATAAACAACAATAACTCTATCTTCATACTTATCAATTAAAGCTTTTGATATTGCTCTTTGATACTCATAATACTTGATAGGATCTTGTTCAAATGTCTCATAAACATACGATTGTAAATTATGCTTTAATGGTTGTAATGGTGTCTGAAGGTAATCTTCAAATCCACTAATATAATCAGAACTATAAGGGGTTAATGATGTAGTATTTTGGTATAGATGAGCTAAGTAATTAAACTGTTGTTTAACACCTAACTGTCCAGATATTACAATTTGACAACCTATGTTGAACATTTTTTTAATAAATTCTTGATGAGACTTAGGTAACACTGGGTAACCTTTTTTATTTATTAAAAAGGTTTTAGACTGAATTATTAAAGCTGCAACTGGTTCTCCTAACCAACGATCAAGTTCTTCATTGCTAGGTAACTCAGTCCCGATTTCCAAGGCTACTTTTATTCTATTTACATTTCTTATAGATGAAATGAATTTAGTCCATTTTTTCCATGGATCTATTTTTACATCGACTATTGGTACTAATGCCCAAAACTGTATTAATACAGCAGAATTTATATAAATATCAATTTGATTGTCTAGCAATCTAACCAAATTTACAACATCTCCGTGTAATGGTAACTCAAACATTATGCTATATACGTTTAAAAATGTTGCCCATGAAATGTCTTGTGCAAAAGATTTTTGATTTTCTGATCTAGTACTTTCGATTTCTGAATCAACATTAGGTTGAGAAATTTTTGCAACAACACAATGACACCACTTTCGACAAAACTCAGGATTCATAACAGTATTTGATGGATCCAATACTTTAGAACTAGATTTTAACTTAAGACTTGTCAATGGTAAACAAGCAAAAGTTAGTTCCAAGTCTCTAACAGAATCCATACATGCCTTGATATTTGTGTCCGTTAGAAAATTGAAACCAAAACGAACATCCTTAATTGACATAGTGTATTAGTTGATTGTGATTTCTATGTTGAATGTTTCAGGACCTGCAAAATAATTATTAGATTATATTATATGTATAAGTATAAGATAAATGTAATGAAATATTTGGTAAAATACTTCTTGAATTGAAAGAAATTATTTGTTACTAAGGTTCAAAAAAAAAAAGGAAATAATATGCAGGTAATTCGTAACACTTTTGATTGAATACATTGAATTTTTGGAAATTAAAGATTGTATTAGTATAATACAAGACTAAAATGTTATATTAAAAAAAAAAAAATGTTAACTATGATATCCTTTGTTTATTCTCTATATAAATTCCAATACTAAACTAACTTAAGAACACAATAACATGATGGGTGTAGCTGGTTTTTAATCTGATGACTCATTTTTTTTTGCTTTTGATGACCATATTATAACTTTAAAAAAATGTATTTTATTTAAAAATATAATGTGATCCGCAACCCATAGTTTGAGAATCTCTGTTCTAACCCATAAATAGTTTAAAATATAATTGGTCGTTACTTACTCTACCTGGCACTGGTTATTGATTACCTATACAATTTAATCTTTAATTGTTATATATACAGTGGTGTATTGGAGAGTATACATGGGTATATGACATACATATACCTGGACCTCTATTTTTGAATTATTCATGTGTATACCTTTAAGAAAATTTGTCTATTATGGATATATGCCAACCATCAGTCATAATTAATATCACAATACAAAATAAGTAATAATAATAAAAATAATATACAATTATTATTTTATTATGTACACTATAAATAGCCTCGATCCTGCATTAAGTTTAGAATTTGAAAACTGCAGAGCATATTTACTGTTTACTATAAATATTAAATATTAGCATCAATATTATAGAAGTTTACAATGTATGCGTCCATAGTGGATATCTCACTGAATTTTATACTATCAAAATATTAGTCACCAACTCAATTACTTTTAGATGCATATAACCACAAACGTATTTACCAATACACCACTGTATATATATGTATTATAACAACAAAGCCTAATCACTAAATTAAGCTAAGTTTCTTTTTTGATGAAGTATACTGATCATATTTAGTAAAAGGCAAAAGCTGAAAAGCTTGATTTTATTCTAGCGGTTACTATAAACATTATGTATAACCTAATATATACAAATTCTATCAGTTAACTGAGAACTTTATGAGTTTTTACTGATACTTGATAATTAAAAATCAAGTTTTGGTTGTGATGCGAGTATTGAATTCTAATTTAAACCCGTTTAGACACCATTGATTAGAAATGTAAAATGTATAACTTATTTTGATATATACAACCTAGGTTGTACACAACTCTTTGAATAAAAATCTGAATATAATTTTTGAACTAATACTGAGAAAAATTAACAAATTTTATAATTAGCTAGTAAAACTAGCTTAAGCTAGTCATTGATCATAGATATTCCTAATTTTCACATGTTACATATGTAAAGAATGACTAAATCAAGAACATATTCAGAAATTATTTTTCAGTCTAAAGCAGGTATTTCATAATGTGCTTGTCATTCAATTATTCTATCAAATTGTATTATTTAAATATAAAATATACATGAATATAAATATTCAACAAATGTTTTATACCTAATCATTTTAATTTACAATTTTTTGATTGATTACTGAGTACGCCAACAGTCATAATCAAATTTTAGTCCAATTTGGATATAATCCACAAGTGCACGTTTAGAACGCACAGATCATTGCTGTCTATTTGTTCTGCGCACAAAGAGTAATAAAATAGAAACAACAGCTTTGATGAAAACGAAACGTAACAACGACACTTGTAAATGAGCCATGTCCGTGAAATTATTATTCTTTAATATGCTTACTTAGTACTACAGTAGCACCTACTATAAAACCATAAGTGTAAACCGAATTCGAATAATAATCAGTATAAAATGCGTTATTACCGTGCGGTTGTGTCGAATCCTCTGGCGAACCGTTTGTTCAACTCGCTTCGATTCCAATAGAAATAGACTATGCGTGAGTACACCCAACTCTGTTGGTTGTAAAAAAAAAGAATTCACTAACTTAGATTCAAAATTCAAAACCTCGTTTAGAATGATAATAAAAATGAGGAAAATAAATGTTAATCACGCGCTATGATAACAGTAACGAGCACGCGCGACCACATAATGATAATAGATAAAATGGCACAACCACGGCGGACCGGCATGCGCGAACGGGCCGTCGAGGACGACATACAAAATATTATACAACAGCAGCAATGTTATCAACGGTGAAGTACAACAACTACAACAACTTACAGCCAATAACAATTACGGATATCTATTACGGAAAATCAGTGATAACGGCCAAATCTTTTGTCCCGTGTTAACGACAATCGATCTACACTGCACTGCCAATAACCCGACCGACGGGAGGACGCTATACCTAAAGCGTTTCGCATGCAACGACCGAGAGAACGCGCTGTTAGGTGTTTTCGCGATGCGCAAGCACGCGACGTTTAAGCCACGCCCACTACTCGTAGTCGGCTGCGGCCGACGATTGTGGGTATTCGGAGCGACGTTTATTATATTCTCGACTTTCGTCCGTTGCGGATCGCGTAAATTATTAAATTCATACATGTAAATGGCGCCATGATATTCTTAATATCCGCGCATCCCATGGTCTACCGATTAAAATTTAAGTCACTGATTACCTAAATAAATGTATCAATATATACATCGTAGAGACTGTATTATAACATAGCTTGATTGTAGTAATTGAATTATTACTTATATATAATATATATAAAGCTCCTATTTATTTAAATAGTAGGTATTCTATTTACATAAAGCATATACACATAAAAACTGTCTTTGTGTGCGCATAGCGTTAAACATAATGTAAAAAGCTGGATTATTTACGTGAATATATTTATGTAGTGACCTGCCCTCACCAATTTTTATTAATATTATTTAATTAAGTATATATAGCAATATCAGACAGAAAATACTAATGAAAGTTACTGCATGTGAAACTTAAAACATAGGTACATAAAATATTATCTTAATAGTTACTTATTAAGTTCTAAGACCTCATTATAACTAAAAGTACTACGTATGGTGTAGATTTTAATCAATTTATAAAATTATTATATGAAAATAGAATAACTAAAAACATAAATACTACAATACAGTATAATAATTACAAAATAATAATAAGAATAGAATATATTACTACTGATACCTAGTAATATCTTTACAAAATATTTATAATTTTTTTTTTTTTTTGCATCTAAAATGTACTGGTTCTCTTATATCAGAGCATAATCGCTTTCCGTAAAGTGGGTCTATTATTTCGCAACAAACACTCTAAATAAAATCTATAAAAACAAAATACATTTAAAATATTATATTATAGCCATATAGGTATCGTTTGAAAACATTTACTCACAATTTTAGTTTATTAACCATTTAGTCTCCAAAAATGTAAATCAAAATAAATTTTTCTATACTTGTCCAATTGGGAGTGTGTATAAAATTACATACATTTCTTCTGAAATTCGTACATCACTTGATAATAATATGCATGGTCTTTTTTTAGCGAAATATTTCCGTTTTCGTTAATGACACAATACGATAACTTAAAATTTAATTTTTGAAATTTAAAATTATTATAATAAAATTATAATGTATATATTATCATAAAATATATTATCTAATTAATTATTGCATGTATTAATTAATTGTATGCATTTTCAAAATATACAAACTTATTAGACTTAATGCAAAGTAAAAATGTAAAGTATATATTAAATAGTTTGACATTTACCAATTTATTTTCCACTGCTTCAATAGCACTCTTCGTATCTTTTGCTATGAACGGGGCATTTGATTTCGATGATTTCATTATCACCTATCAACCCATCGGGGCTTGCAGCCAAATATGGCAATTCTTGGTCAATAAACAAACCACAAACATGGACGACTGTTCTATTCAATCTCTCAAATTCTC